CTTGTCCCCTAACTGGTGTGTCCTGTGTAAGTTGAATGGTGAGACTGCTATCCACCTTTTTCTTATCATGCCCTTTTGTCAGCTTTATTTGGAATTGGTTTACTTCCCTTTTGGGTGCAGGTGGTCTTCTCCTGACCGGTTGGAAGGTTTATTCAACCCTAATGGTTGCAGTGGTAAGACAAGGAGGGGAAGGATTCTCTAGAGGGGCACTAGAGCAGCAATACTTTGGACCATTTGGAAGGAAAGAAATGATAGAATATTTGAAAGTAAGGAAAAATGCAAGGAGGCTCTAGTGGAAACAATAACATTGAGGGTGGCACATTGGGTAAAAAGTTTAAAGCAGTTCTCAGATTTTAAAGTTGAAGACTTCTTCAGGGTTTTGGGACTTATTGCGGCTTCATCAACTATGAGGCGACAGGTTTGTGAGACCTGGTCCCCTCCAACAGAGGGTTGGATGAAGCTGAATTTCAATGGGAGTTGTGTGGGTAACCCAGGCCCTTCAGGTATTGGGGGGGGGGGGCCATTAGAAATGAAAATGGTTCCATTATTGCTTTGTTCTCCGATCCTATGGAGGAGGGTGATGTAGCTAGGGCAGAGTTTCTAGCTGCAGTATATGGGGTTGAGAAGCCCAAAGAGCTGGGGATTAATAGACTGATCATCGAGGGAGTCTCAAAAACTGTCATAAAATGGTTGCAAAAAGGGGAAGGAGTGACATGGCAACTGAAGAATGATTTTAGAAGGTTCAAATGGATGTCAAGAAATATGTCTATTTAGGTGGGTTGGGTTAGGAGATCGGCCAACAGCTTGGCTGATAGCTTAGCAAAGCAAGGGGTTCAAAGAACAGATTGCTTTGGGCACATTTGTAATTCTGTCTTGGGTCAGCTTCTATGCTGATTTCTTTGTAACTTCTTGTTGTATATTAAAGCATCTTAATTAATGAAATTTTTCAGAGTTATTGATCAAAAAAAAACCCACAAACGTCCCTACTAAACTTGTTTTCAACACCCTCATCCTATCTTCCATCTTTCCTACCTTTCTTACATCAACATGAATCAATGATGTCTCCATCTTGGTAATATTTTAGCCATATATGGAGCTCTAGAATCCTCTCCACATATTTATTTGTGATTTGCTAGCTTAGAAAATCCATGTACACATGAACCCATGTGTGAATGAACCTCATAGACATGCCCACAGATCAAGCCATCTAGGAAATAAAGAAAAAGAAGATTGATCAAAAAATATAAAGAAAAAGAAGAGAGATAATACCTGGAATCACTCACCATAACTAGCATAAGCTTAAGAAAAGTCAATAAATTTCATTGATTTTTGTGTTAAATGTTCATACATATTTATAGACTAAACTCATAATAATCCTAGGAGTCTAACTGTTAGATTTCATATTAAACAAGACTCAAACTAAACTGTCATATCCTATTTCAATTCAAAAAAGACTCAATTATTACTATAGATCCTACTTATTCAATGACTTCAAAGTTTTAACATAAACAAACTATAACAAGACAAATTAAACCCTATCCTTAAATCCCACAGAAAATTGCAAAATGATAATAATACCCCTACTATCCAAAATACAGAAATACATAAAATTCCATTTTTGACTCTTTAGCTCCTGCATCATCCCCCCCCCCCTTTCAAAAGAACTCATCCTCAAGTTCTTATGAAAAGTTGATATGCCCCAGTGACAAAAGGAGTTGGACTTCCCACAGCTACATGCTTGGGCTGTGTCTATAATTTTTACTCGAAATATGAGAAGTCCATATTTCGCAATGTTTCCACCATGTCTATAATTTTTACTGTTTTACAAATATTTCCATATGATGTTTCCAACATTTCCAACATGTTTCCTGTATTTGGACGACCAACATTTCCATCAACATCGACACTGTAAACCTCAGATCTGACCAAGGTTCTAAATATCGATACAGGTCGATACGTCAGTGTATCGATGCTTCTTTTATGTTTTATTTTTCTTTTTCAAAACCAGTTCAGAGGGGTCGGTTTAAGTCCCGGCTACCCTCTGAACCATGGCCTGACCCGATACACCCCCTGTAGGGGTGTGTCGGGAAGGCCCCGATACAATACGTATCGGCCAATACGGGCCAATACGTAACGATATTTCGAACCTTGGATCTGACCACCACAAACAACCTTACCTTTGTGCCCTAAATGCAACATTTAAAACATTAAATCTAGCCAACAGCATTGAAGGAGCGAGCGAGAGAAAGAGGGAGAGAGGGAGAGATATTTAGTTGACCAATGGCATGGGAGAGATGGTGAAAGTCAGCGAGGGTGACAAGGGGAGAGATCCAATCACGCCAATGGCATAGAGAGAGAGAGAGAGAGAAGGAAGGGATCTACCTGTGAAGTGGACAAATGAACGAAAGTTAACAGCAACACAAGGTGGCAATGGTAGCAATAATCCCTTCTTGGTTGGTCTCTCTTTCTCTCTTTCATTTTACAAACTGTAGAACCGAATATATAAGATATTCCCATCCAAAGGCAGATAACCAACACTAGATAGAAAACCAGGTTCACCTCCGGGTTGGAATTTAAAACACTGGTCCTAACTAATGCTGTTATGAAAAGTGTATGTGAGCCAAAAGTCCAGGGTGGGACAGGATTTAGGAATCTTCAGACCATGAATAGGGCATAGCTGCCTAAATGGTAGTGGAGATTTGGTTGTCAGTAGGGTCAGTTGTTGAGGGGGCAATTACAGGGAAGTTTGGTAGGTCTGCTATGGATTGGGATACTCTAAACCCATCTCAACCTTATGGATGCATCCCTTGGAAAGCGAGAATTAGGATCCATGCTGGCTACAGACCTGGTCTGAGTGATTATATCCATTTCAGGGATGATGTTTGATGTGGGAACAGGCCACTGTGTGAATTCTGTGAGGGAGAATTATGAAATTTTGGGATTTCAGATTGTATTGTCACCACATTTCAGACTTCAAACGTAACCACAATGATTGGGAAATTGGGACATTGGAGGAGATGTTGGCTAGTTTATCATTGGATTACATGCAGCATACTTTGGGGGATTCCATGGTTTGGAAGGGCAGCAGGCCGGATATCTTATCTGCTAATCTTGCTGCATCTGAAAGCTCTGTTCAGTGGCAATGGATATGGAAAGCCCATTTCCCCTCTAAAATTTGATTTTTTGTGTGGTCTGCAATCATGGAGCAGATACTCACCATAGATTAGCTCATCTGTAGGGAGTGGGAGATAACCTTGGCCAATGTGTGGATACATTTTGTGAGACTTTTTGATGTCCACAGGGTTACCCCATCAGATTTACAAATCTTATATTCAGCCAGGAAGCAGGGAGGGCTGTCCGAGAGAGGCAAATCTTTGTGGAACACTATCCCTTTGGCCATTTGTTGGGCTTTATGGAAAGAAAGAAACTCGCACATTTGTGAGTCCAAATTTCTACCAGAGAAGGCTCTGATTAAGAAGATTGAATGGCAGATTATTAGGTGGATGGAGTGCCTGAAGTTTTTTGAATAAGCCAACATGGATCACAGATCACTTCACGAATCACAGGCACCAGCTTATTCATGGAAACTGATAACAGGATTTTTTGCACAAAAAATACCCTATTTTGTACAGTGGTTGAGGGGCCCTCTCCCTAGCTTTTTGGGAGAAAGGTAAAGTGTTTCATTTTTTTTTAGTGTCTCATTAATTAACAAAACATGTATCACAGTCCTCGCACAGTAAGGTACTGGACAAGGCAGGCATTAACTTTGTACATCCCAAGTTATATAATGCAATTCTTCACTAATCAAAAACAAAGAAAACAGAAAAAAGTCTCAGTTGTCCATTATTATTAATAAGCTAGGCATGTCTTGCATATATGCACCAGCTTGAGGGGGAGTATTGTGAAAGGCATTGGGACTAGCTACTATTATAAGAGATTGAAACATAATAAAAGAGGGAATTACTGTAATTGCACTATTGGGTATACTTTGAATAAAAGGAAGGGAGTAATAGAACAAATTGATTATCCCTTAATTCCCCAAAAGCATTCTTCAATCAGGGATGAGGAAAGTCCAAGAAATAGCCTACTGCTGATTCCCAATGAAGTGCAGCAGCAATACTGAAGGTGATGTTGATTCAGTCAATTAATAACTATCTTACAACTAATGTCATCGTGAAAGAACAGGAGTTTTTTTGAGCTAAAACATCTCTTACTGTGTTTCGGTAAATTTGTGGTGTGAGCTTTGGTGAACGAAGATGGTAGAGATAATATCCAAGAATTTACCCCCAACATTGGCACAACACTAGCTTTCTGGGCTAACTAGCACAGGCATGGTGAAAACCTTGTGTCCTGGGACTGGCACATGCATCCCATTGAAGTTCATTCATCAAAAAAAATCCCATTTAAGTTTTACTTTTACCTTCAAAAACAATACCAGAAAACGAGAACCTCAAACCAAGTACACAAGAGTATATCATTTTATAACTCTGGTTGCAACTCAAAATAAAAGAGGAAATTTGCAAATGAAATAACATGCTCAAGAGATCCGTTCTTTGTGATTGAAATTCCCTTAAATGGGCCCACATGGCCACATGTGTATGGAAATATGCAACAAAGGAAGTCCACAAAGATCAGAGACCCTTTGCAAATAAAACAACATGCTCAAGAGATCCTTTCAGGTAAGGCGTAAGCCAATGTCCATGACTTGATCGACTACCCAACTACCTATAACGCTTATACAAAGCAATAGGATGAACAACAGAAACCCTGTAAGCAATGGCGTAGGCACAAGCATTTTCACACAACCAAAGACCCTATCTTTGAAACTTGATGCAACTGATGTACAAAATTTAAAATACTGATCCAGTCGTAGTTCAGCTAATGCTCAACCACGCTCATACAACTTGGACATCTCTAACAAAATGAGAAGAACAGTATAACGACACTCAAGAGACTTCTGGGGTTTTAAAATCTCCAGTGCGAATAGGGTCCTAAAGTACCTGAAGTTTTCGGCGGTTTTCGGAGCAATATCAGCGAAGAGCTCCATCTTGATTCTTCCCGCGGGGATGGTTCCGACCGTGACGTCGAAGAATACGATTGGGTTTTTAGGGTTTGGAGGTCTCTGGTGCCATTCTACAACTGTGTTACCTCCTGCAGACGCCATGAGAATGGAAGACTCGGAGTCTCGGACAGACAAAAGCTCTGGATTCTGTAGGTATTGTTCGATATAAGTAATTATTCAAATAACAAGCACTTATTTGCTGAAGCATTTTAATAAAATTAAGGGAAAAGTACGGGCAGGCCCATTGCATAAATCTGAACACATGGCCGGTCCATGCAGAATTTACAATGACTCTCGAATTCAACTTTTGAAATTATAAGACCGATTCTCACGCCATGTAAGTGTCACCCTTTTATCTATATTTTTCCTGTGAGGTGGCAATCCAATTCGGATTACATGTCACAATAACATTTATTTAAAATTTTCTTTCTCTTTGACTGTTTCTSCAACTGCAACTACAAATTCTCCTCCCCAGCGGTGCTCCTCTTTCTCACTCTCATTTTCTCCTCCCTCACTCCCCCTCAGTCTCCCCAGTGGCGCTCCTCTTCTTTTACTGTTTTTCCCTGCAACTTTTCCCTTGGCCTTTGATTGACCCTTGACTGAACTTCGGCTGCTCTCCCTCTCCTTCAATGGTTTTTCCCAATGCGTTGAAGACAATCCTTATTGACAAAGCATACTAACAGGTATTTGATAATTTCTCTGTACATAGTTCATTTTGTTTTAGTTATTGAAGAAGTCCATTCAATACATTTGTTTGTTGATTCTCCTTGCATGCCTGCTGTACTTAATGGACAGTTGTTTTTAATTCACTTTCTAACATTGGTTAGTTGGCGTGGAATTTTCAAATCTGAAATGGGCCAAATTCCCAAATCTAATAGTTTCGTTAAGTTAGGTATGAGTGAGGATGTATGACAATGATATGAGCTAACCTATATTGGTACCCATTTACCAGTTTAGGGAAGTAGAAAATATTTTTGGATTGTTGTGAAACCTCAAATCTTTCTCGGGCTAGACTGGACAAATCATTATTCATTTATTAATTGTGAAACCAAATACACTAACTTGTTTTACTATTATTAGTAGAACATTGAGGACTAGGTTGTCTCTAAAACTTAATTCATGGTGTCTTCAGTCCAATTTAGATGACATAAGTATCAGTCTACAACTCTACACTATCTGTCTTGTGTTCAAGCAGTACAAATACAAAGCATTAAACTTTGATCCAAGTCCCACAAGCACATGAACACACAGCAAGAAAAAATTAAAAGAACTGTGAAACCTTGCACATGGCACTTTCATTATGAACCCACCAGGTCTATCCCAGCCTTTGATGCCCTTAAACATTAAATATTTCTTGGTGTGGCCTAGTTTTGAATCTTTTGAACCAAAATGCTGAGAAGAAAAAATCAACTGAATTTAAAGTTCTGCAAACTGCAAACCATAATTAAATAAGGCATTACCATCATTTGCCCAGAAAAGTGACAAATGACATTAAGATGATTCTTACTTCACAATTTCATACTTCTAGATTTCATCAGACAAAATTCCCAACCTGAAATCTTCAATGGTTGGATTCATTTGATCAAAATGGTCATGACTCATGAAAGCAAAAACATGGATGAAGAGAAATTGCATATATATGGCTATAGAACCATTTTCAGTTGATTTGAAAACTGATTTATTTCCTTGAACTATCTTATTGATCTAAGATTACATGAATACCACAAGGCTTCAAAAATTCAATAAAAGGCACCACAAATAAAGAATAAAATCTCAAGTTAAAGGCATTGATACTTCAGATATAGTGCAAAAGAACAAATAACCTATAATATTGATCCAAGTCTATGGAACCTAACCTAAGAAAAGAATAATAGGAAAAAATCACATTAAACAAAATGACAAAATGTTGAGCATGCACCCAAGAACTGAAGGGATGAGAGATCCATCCCATGGACGCCCAAACATTGCGGAATAAGGGGAGAATTTCAAAAAAAAATTTCTCTCCCTTCAACTGGGAAGCGCATTCCCTATTTAGAAAACCATATTTTCAAAGATCATTCTTGAACCTTAAACTGAATCAGATCTGAACCAAAAGGAGTAAGGGAGAATTATACCTGATACGGAGAAGTAGTATCTCCCAACGGAGGTATTCACACCGAAGGAAGGATCCAAAAACTGCTCCCACTGAAGATGGCGCAGTGCAGGATGGAGTAGAATCAGCAATGTTCTTCTCCAAGAACTCTGTCCTTCGCAAGAATCAGCAGGATGGTACGTGAGCACAGCTTCCTTTCAATCCTTTCTCAAAGAACTGATGTCAAGATCCAATCTTGACTTCTCCCACAACTAGAGATCAAACTGGCAAACAGGGCGGCAAGAGAGTATTCGCAGGGTGCAGAATTCTCTCTTCCTGATTTCAGCACTAAAGAAAATCTGATGTTGTGTGTCTTCTCAAGGCTGTCGCCCCCTCCTTCTTTTTGTTAACATAAAAGGATTAGCTCCTAATCCAATTAGGAGCAGCTTATCCAAATCATATTTGGATAAGACTTCTCTTCAGGTGATAGGGATAAACCCTTATCTTATCTGCAGATTAGATTAGCTTTCTACTATCCTGCAGCAATGAAGCCTTGCGGCTGCTACATATAGATATCT